GTATTACTATCTAATACTATTTAAATATACATATTATTATTAAAGTACTAATAGTTTAAATATTAATATTAAAAATATAGATGTCAAAAGATATTGAAAGATGTTTGAAATATCAATATTAAAAGATATTAAAAATATTAATATTGAAAGATATTTAAAATATTAATATTGAAAGATGTGGAAAAACATAAAAAGATATTAAAAAATATTTCATTATTTTATTAAATGTTTAAAAAGAATCTTCAAATATACTATTATAATAAATATATGAATTATGTATAATAAATAAATAAAAAATATAGATCTCAAATAAAAAGAATAATATATAATATCTAAAAATAGAAATATAACTATAAAGAATAACTATAATAAGAAAAATAAATAGAAAAATAAAGATAATTATAAAATAAAGTATAAAATTATGAAAATATGAAATTTTATATAATCAAAGAAAGATTATGAAATTAAGAAATTTTATATTACTATGATAATAATATATTTAAAGATCATTTTTAATTTTTGATAGAATAATAATACTGTAGTGCACTGACTAAACTATCTCTCTTGTATAAAATACCACTCTTAGATTTTGAGCAGAAGTTTTGTAAAAGATCTAGATATTTTACTTAGAGATTTTTTTTTAAGTTGTAAAATAGCTGATCTTACTTTATTTATAAATCAATATGTAATTTTATTATTTAAATTCATTTTATTATTTACACTATAACATTTTAAATTTCATTCCAATTACTATAATCTTGCCCATTCTCTTCCCCATTTCTTCCCCATTCTCTTTCTCATCCTCTTTCTCATCCTCTTCTGCTAATTAATTATCTATATAACTATTATCATTATTTTCTTTATCCTCATTAATCATAAGATTATCATAATCAAAAATTTCATCATCTTCTATACCATCTGTTTTAACCAAAATTTCATAACATTTAAATGATTTACAAATTAGACTTGGTTCAACTTTCTTCCATGCAGTTTTTATTTATAAAAATACTAAAGAATATGAAGATTTCCTAATACATCCAGCCGGAGTTAATTCATGGATTTCATTTATTATCCAATCATTATAGAACTCTTGGATCTATTAAAAAAAGGTTATATTTTTAATTAATATTAACTATAAATATAATAATAAAATAAATGATAATTAATACTCACAAATAACTTAAAACTTTTGTTTATCATCACATCAAGAGGTTGCAATTTAGATGTTAATCCACCAGGAATTACTACTATATTAGTTACTACATTGTTAAATTTTTGCTTAACAGAATCAACTAAATAACCACGAAAAGAATCCAAAACTAGAAGTGATCTGGGATTCAATAATGAATCATTATTAGTTCTTTTGGACCAAATGCTTTCCACTCACCAGATCATTTCATTCTCATTAATCCATCTCTTCTCATTTACTCTTACAAATATATCATTAGAAAATGTTTCTCGAGGTATGTTTTTTCAATTTAAAGATAATGACAGGTGGTAATTTAGATCCATCAGCCATACAACCCAAAATAACTGTAAAAGTGCTTCTTTCAAGTCCTGTAGTTTTAATACTGATAGTGCTAGAATCACATTTTTCTAAGGTATATGAACTGGGTAAATCAAAGGTCACAGGAGTTTCATCCATATTTCCAATAAATTGAAGTGGATAATCATATTGTAATCTTCTATAAAGAACGTAACTCAAAAAACTCTGTTGCTTTTCAAGTAAGTCTTCTGGCAAATGTTGAGATACTGTTGTTCTTCGATCATTTGAAAGATCATGATGAATCATAAAACAATCCAGCCATTTTTTAGAAAACTTAAAAGAAGAAATATTTGAATACTTCTCTTGAAATTCGTCAGTTTGTGCAAGCTCCCTAGCCTTCTTTACTGCCATATTTCTAGTTATTGGTAAACTTTGTGCCCGACAATCCATAATCCACTTTGCTAGCTCTTGTTCTAAGTCTGAAAAATATGGGTTTCTACCCTTGTGTATTTTTAATAAATGAGGTGCTGATGATTTGAGTTTGTCTTTTTTACTTCTCCAATCACGAACTTGACTTGGTTCTATATCAAAATGTCTTGCTGTTGCACGAATACTATTTGAACGATCTAAAAAATGTAAGACCATTAATTTCTCACGTACACACCATTGTCTCCTTTTTTTTAAAGTGACTCTAGAGCGTTTAGAACTTTTGTTTCCTCTAATAACCATTTAAAAAGTAAAAATTGTGCGGCGTGAAAAGTGAAATGTGAATGTGAAATGAAAGACGTGATAGAGATCACCTATGATTATAATCTACATATTGCATCCGATTAAAAAACCCCCCTCCTATCAAAGTACCCCCCTGATTAAACTACCCGGGTACTTTGCAAATTCAGGAGTAGATTTGTAAAAAACCCGGGGTAGTTTAGTCAGTGCACTACGGTATTATCGTTATCGTTATTATAAATATTAATCAGCGTTATCGTTATACATGTACATGTATATGTACTCATCGTGGGAAATAAGATAAAAATTAGTGGGAAATAATAATAACAAAGATAAAAATTAGTCATACATAATGTTTAATTGCAAACCAATGCGTATATGGCGGAAAGTTAAAAACAAGTTCCACTTTAAACTGATAAAGTCGGTTTTATTACTATATACATGTACAATCGGAAACGATTATATATCAATCATTTCCGATTCCAGACTTTTGTACAATGATTATCAAATAAACATATCGATATGTTATTACACGAAATTGTTTAATAAATTAATGACACAAGTTTACGAGATGAATCAATTTAACCAAAGGAACCATAATTGCGTGATGTCACAAAACCATAGCTACTTTATGTGATGACGACTTTTCATATAATCTTCTTTTCTGTAATATAATTAACATTCGGAAAGAACTTTTATATAATGGACTTTATACAGTGTGTAAAAAAGTCTTTGGACAAAATCATTTGATCATTGCGCCAGAATGGCTGAGTAAAACCAGCTGATTAATGGCTCATTTGAGAGCCAAAAAGCACGAGATTTATTAAAAAAAAAAATTAATATGGGATACGTTCACCATTTTTTTCGATAATAAGCTCACAGCGTCTTTTCATAGACCTTATTAATTTATTGAGAACCGGTTGGGGAATTTCTTCCCATTTCCTCCTTCATAAATTGCCGAAGATTTTTTGGTTGTCGTATCTCTACATTTCTCTTAACGATATTCCATAGGTTTTCAATAGGGTATAGGTCGGGACTGTTGGAGGGCCAATTCATCATTATAGGAAAGTTCTCTCGGAGGAATTTTCCGCTATTTTGCTGGTATGCTTCGGATCATTGTCTTGTTGGAACCGCCAATTCCTCTTGAACATTCTCAATCTCAGGAATATGTTTTTAAACAAAATCCACCCCATGCATTAATTTTTGATCGGACTTTTGGAATCCGACGAACTGGTCGTTCACCCTTATACCAAACTTGTACAGTATTTCGGAATAGGCGGAATAATGTTTCATCGGAAAATAAGGTACGATGCTATTTATCATTGAGGTGTTCTTGGGCCCATTCTACGCGTTTTCGTTTGTGTGCTTCTGTAAGCATTGGTGTTGCCATAGGGAGCTGTTTTTTGAAATTATGCCGGCCTAAATGCCTTAAAATTGTCATATGTGATACCTTTGTGCCATTTTTGATCAATTTGGTAGCTAACGTTCTTGTTGATATGGCAGGATTCTTTCGAACAATTTGTCCAACAGATCTTGAGCATCCGGCGGTGATTTTTCTCGGGCGACCACTCCGCTTTTTGTGAGCTGTACTTCCGTTTTCTTTCAATTTTTTAATATTGTAATAGATGGTTGATTTGGGAATTTTCGTTAGGCGACGTATTTCCGCTATGCTCTTGCCCTGCAGCCAGAAATGCTCAATTGTTTGGGCATGTGTATTTTTTTTGGCAGCTGGCATTTTTATTCCTTTTTTTTTTTTACCGATGGAATCCGGGGAAATAGAGTAAAATGATTCTCGTAACTTTTAATTGGGTAAGTTGCACGGATTTAATTTTGATCGACAGTAGTCCAAAGACTTTTGTATATGGTATTTGAATATAGTAATGGACTTTTTGTATATAGCATCATTTGAAAGACAACCGCTCATTTTTTTCATATATCTGTAGCGGAGGATAAGAAGAAATAATCCACGTCTTAATAAGATTTTGAATAATTCATCTTTAATACATTTGTTTTAATAATTATTATGGTGGATAGACATTTGTTCAGAGCATAAACCGTGATAAATCGACACAGAGATCAAGTTGACTCTGTAACATTTTCCGGATGTTATTAGACGGATTCGTTAACGATCCGAAGAACGCGTTTCGTTTTATCATCGTAACCCAAATTTATCCTTTTTTTGCATATTCAGTGGATGCAAGCTATGCCGATGCTGCGATTTCCCGTACCATGTGCCTTTCTTGCCGGCGAGTCTTTCGGGCGCATTTTTAGCGAAAGTCGAGACATTTTGAAAACATTATAATTTCGAGTAAAAGGCGTAATCAGACATTAAGGCATTTATTATTAATTGCTCCTTATTAATTGCTCCGATAATAATAAAATTAATTTAAAAAAATTTCTAATAACAAAAATTATATAGAATTGTACCAGATATTACATAAAGTCATGTATTATAGAACTTTCAGGTAAGACAGTTTCAAATTTGACGCGTAAAATATTACATGTACTAGCTTCCATAAGATATTGTGTAAAATATCTTACGGGTCTTTATGAATATATTATTTAATAAAATTTCATTTGCCTTCTGGCCGCGAATAATTCTTTAATGACGAATTTCAACATTTTCCGTGTTCCGTTCCATGTGCTAGTCACTATGCATCACCGCCAGAAATCCATTCATGATCTGTTAAATTTGATGAAAAACAATGCCTAAATATCTTGGATCATAACTGGAATCTATTGTAATGGTTGTAATCTCGGGATATTATATTTGAAAATATAACCAAAGATGCTCTTTGAATTAGCTATCGCGGTTATATATAGAAGTAACTAACTGTTTTTTAAACAATTATCATTTCAAATCAATAAATAACTTTATTTAGTATGTTCTCACCCCTATTAATGGAACTATTTATTATCGATCTCCTCCGGAAGACTTCGAATTTTCAAACACATTCGTCAAGGAGAAAAACCTAAAGTATATGATTGACAAATGAAAAGAATCAATGAATGCAGAAAATTATTAGTAAATTAACAAATTATTTTCAATCAATATATATGTCTTTATAACTAGCAAGAGATTAAATTTAATTTACGCATCGTATGATATAAAAACCATCTATCTACAAATAAATATTATCATTTACATGTAAAATGATAAAATGAAAATTAACATATGGTTTGAATTCATATTATCTATTTTCTTCATAATATTACATCTATCCGGTTTATTGAGTTTCAAAGATGAACAGGCTTAACAGGTTTGTGGAAGGTTTTAGAACGTAGAACTGATCTTTGAGGGCTTCTCTATAATCTATTAAAGATTTCTGTGCCAGTAACTACAGTCATTGTGGTGATAAAGGTAAGTTTATTTGATTATAATGATTGAATTGGGAGATGAGAAAGAGAATTACACAACTAATTACAATTGATTTTTTTAATTATAGATTAATTTTAAGAATTATGGGTTATTTTTACAAAGTCATACAATATATGATCAAATTGAATTCTCTTTACAGCTAGATTATATTACAAAAAAATTAATGTAATAATGCTTTCTTCTGATAAAGTGATAAAAAATCTTGAAGTTCAACAATATAAGCAATAAAAGATAATTCTTTCTAATTATTTTGTAATTTATCTTGATTAAAGATTCAAAAATATCTATATTTTTATATTTGAGTTGTTATATATACAGACTATATTAATAAATAATTCTATTTTTACAGTGATCAAAATGATGAAAAATAATATTATACAACTCAATATATAAAGTATATATTAAAGTAGATATAAAATTATATATAAAGTATATATAAATTTGTAAACAATACTTAATTATTATAATAAATAAAGTAAATAATAAAATAATAAAAAAATAATCAAATATAAAAAAAATAAAATAAAATAATTATTATATTTAGTTAATTTAAATGATTATTTTATTGAAATAAAATGAGAAAAATAATAAAAATAAAGTTAAATAAAATTTTATATTATTATTAAGTATTAATTAAAGTATTCAAATAATTTGAAAGCTATTATTTAAATAAATATTATTATTTATTATAATTGTTATTATTCTTATTTTTATATTTCTTTTGTATTATTTTAATTTTTTATTATTAGTTTTTAAATTAGATTCAGATAGCAGAAGTAAATTATTTATAAATTATATTAAAGAAATTCTAAATTTAAATTATAATAAAAAAATTTTAATATTAATAATAACTATTTATTTCTTTTATAAAAATTAAATTTTAATAAAATTTACTCTTTTTTATATAAAAATTTGATATTTGATTGCTTATTAAGATATAATTTATTAAAAATAAGATAAAAATACTTATTCTTAATAATAATACTATGATGAATTTGATAAGTAGATTTTCAATTGAATTCATCTTAATAATATTGAGTTGGAAGAGACTGAATTAAATAAAAGATAAAGAGAGAAATTAGACTATAAACTTTAATACTAACAAAGATTTCTAAGATTTATACCAATATTTATAGATATTGTCTTAATAAAAAGATAATAAATAACAAAAAAAAAATAAATCAAGAAAATTATAAAGATCAATTAATAAAGCTACTAGTAATCAATATAATTCAGGATTTAAGAGATTAAATAATAAAATTACTATTAATCAAAAAATACTATAACTAAGAAAAAGTAAAAACTAAAGTAAATAATAAAATAACTAATTGAAAAGAGTATAGCTTATTTATAATAGAGATCTTTTATATTCAAAAATAATAAAATAAATAAAACAAAGATATGATTTATTTATAATAAAAATATTTTACTCTTAAAATAATATTAAAAATCAAAAATTAATATAATGTTATTATTATAACAAATCTGATAAGTAGATTTTTACTTGAATTTATCTTAATAAAATTAAGTTGAGAAAAACTGAATTAATTAAAAGGCAAAGAGAGGAGAATTAGACTATATTTTTAATAATAATAAAGATTTCTAAGATTTATATTAATATTTATAGATATTATCTTTCAAAAAATAAATAAATAATATAAGTAATATATAAATCAAGAAAATTATAAAGATTAATTAGTAAAGTTACTAGTAATTAATGTAATTCAAGACTTAAAGTAATTAAATAATAAAGTTGTTATTAATTAAAGAAGACTATAACTAAAGAAAAAATAAAGTAAAATAACTAATCAAAAAGGATATGACTTATTTATAGTAAAGATCTTTTACTCTTAAAAACAAATAATAAATAAAATAAAAGTTATAGTTAAGATCTTTTACTTTCAAAATAATATTAAAAATCAAAAATCAATATAATATTATAATCCAAATCAAAATCAACTTTGTATAATTAAAGAAATAAAACTAAGTGAGAGAAAGAGTACTAGTATAATTAGAAAAAGAATCTTATAAAAAGAATATTATTATTATAATAATAAGCTTTTTAATTATATTTTTCAAACAATTCAATTCAAAATTATTTATTTTAAGTTGAAATAGCAAGTTCTTTTATACTTTTTTTAAATATATAAATTATTATAATATTACTAGTTAATACTATCTAAATATATATATTATTATAAAGAACTAATACTTTATTATTATAATATTAAAAATATCAAGATTATATTTATATAAATATTTTCATAAATATTTATGATATTTATATATAGATATTTTTATATAGATATTTATATAAATATTTAGTTAATTATCATTTCAAATATCATAATATACTGACTAAACTATTCCAGATTTTTTACAAATCTACTCCTGAATTTGCAAAGTATCTGGATAGTTTAATCAGAAAAGTATTTTGATAAGAGAGAAATTTTTTAATCAGATGTAATATATAGATCATAATTATAGTTACAATTATAATCTCTATCACATCTTTCGTTTTACATTTATATTTCACTTTTTATATCACACAATTTTTATTTTTTAAATAGTTCTTAGAGAAAATAAAAGTTCTAAATATTCTAGAATCACTTTAAAAAAAAGAAGAATATGTTATGTATATGAGAAATTAATAATTTTACATTTTTTAGATCATTCAAATACTATTCATATAATAGCAAGACATTTTGATATAGAACCAAGTCAAGTTTGTGATTGGAAAAATAAAAAAAACAAACTCAAATCATTAGTATCTCATTTATTAAAAATACACAAGGATAGAAATCCATATTTTTTAGACTTAGAACAAGAGCTAGCAAAGTGGATTATGAATTATCAGACATAAAGTTTACCAATAACTAGAAATATGATAGTAAAGAAGACTAGGAAGCTTGCACAAATTGATAAATTTCAAGAGCTATTTTTTCTTTTAAGTTTTCTAAAAATGGCTGGATTATTTTATGATTTATTATGATCTTTTAAACTGTCAAAGAATAACAGTATCTCAACATTTGTCAGAAGACTTACTTAAAAAGCAATAGAGTTTTTTGAGTTATGATCTTTATAGGAGATTACAATATGATTATTCACTTCAATTTATTGGAAATATGGATAAAACTCCTGTGATCTTTAATTTATCCAGTTCATATACCTTAGAAAAATGTGATTCTAGCACTATCAGTATTAAAATTACAAGACATGAAAGAAGTATTTTTACAGTTATTTTGGGTTGTATGGCTGATGGATCTAAATTATCACCTATCATTATCTTTAAATTGAAAAATATACCTCAAGAAACATTTCTTGATGATATATTTATAAGAGTAAATGAGAAGGAATGGGTTAATGAGAATGAAATGATCTGGTAGGTGGAAAACATTTGGTCTAAAAGAACTAATGATGATTCATTATTAAATTCCAGATCACTTCTAGTTTTGGATTCTTTTTGTGATTATTTAGTTGATTCTGTTAAGCAAAAATTTAACAATGCAGTGACTAATATAGCAGTAATTCCTGGTGGATTAACATCTAAATTGCAATCTCTTGATGTGGCGATAAATAAAAGTTTTAAGTCATTTGTAAGTATTAATTATCATTTATTTTATTATTATATTTATAGTTAATATTAATTAAAAATATAACCTTTTTTTAATAGATCCAAGAGTTCTATAATGATTGGATGATAAATGAAGTTCATGAATTAACTCCAGCTGGACGTATTAGGAAACCTTCATATTCTTTAGTATGTTCGTGGATAAAAACTGCATGGAAGAAAGTTGAACCAAGTCTGATTCATAAATCATTTAAATGTTGTGGAATTTCGGTTAAAACAGATGGTACAGAAGATGATGAAATTTTTTGATTATGATAATCTTATGAGGGATATTTTACACGGGGGGGGTAGTTTATGTAAAATCCACTATAATGGCTGTTGTAATATAATTAATATTCGGAAAGGGCTTTTGTCTTTATATATGGTAATTGAAAAATGGTTTTTATCACTTCACTAATGGCACAAACTGGTGTTAATATTTTATTTGTATGTATAGATTGCAATTCGCCACAATACCAATATCTATTTTATGTAAAATCCACTATAATGGCTGTTGTAATATAATTAATATCCGGAAAGGGCTTTTTCTTTATATATGGTAATTGAAAATTGTTTTTATCACTTCACTAATGGCACAAACTGGTGTCAATATTTTATTTATATGTATAGTATGTATAGTAATAATATTGAAGTTTTTATTTTATTAATAAATTTGTTTATTGGCTGGTGGCGGGTGACTTTTGTCAGAACGATTCGTAATATTTTTACTCACAAGAACGTGATTTTCGTGCAATAGCTTTCAAATACATGTAAAAGGAGTTGAATAATTACTTTTTTCCTCAAGTTTTTTTCTTGATTCGAAAAACTGAATAACAATAATAATAATGAAAATGATAATAACAATATCAAACAGCATATTAATTATAAACCACCGCCACCAATAAAATCCACAAAGGGTCCCATGAAGGTTTGCAACATACGTAACAAAACAACAGCTGTTTTACCACCCAGCAGCAACAACAACAGCAGCAGCAGCAGCAGCGACAAGAACAACAACAGCAACAACAGCAACGACGTCGTCAGCAGCATCAACAAATGATGGCCGATTATTTGCACAAGCTACTTTCCGCTATAGCTTTTATAAGCTACTCATGTGACAGTTGTTGATTTTCTCGCTGAACCCGGATGGTTACAAGAATAATAACACGTTCTCCATAAAGGTGAGTTAATAAACAAAGTATCTTAGGCTGTATCCCGGAGTTATCAACAAACTGTTCGCGCCGCAGCTTTATTTTTCGTTTTAATACGGGCTGCTTTGCGATACAGCTATATAAGCTACTTACTATTGTTTGTTGTTTTGTTTTCTCATTGAAACCGGGTTCACTTTTTTCATATATTTGTAGTGGGGGCTTTTGTTAACGATTGCGGAGGACAAGAAGAAATAATATCATAGTCGTTATAAAGGTGAGTTAATAAGCAACACTCGTCTTATTTGTATCTTAGGCTGTATCCCTTAGTTGTTTTTACAGACCGGGTGCGCCACGGCTTTGTACGAGCTGCTTTCTGCTACAGCTTTTATAAGCTACTCATGTGACAGTTGTTTGTTTTCTCGCTGAACCCGGTTTTATTTTTCTTGGTATATTTATTATAGTAGGTTTTCCGGAGGACAAGAAGAAATAGTATCACAGTCGTTATAAGGTGAGTTAATGAGCAAGTTAATGGGCAAGATATCTTAGGCTGTATCACGGAGTTGTCAACAAACTGTTTGCGCCGCAGCTTTGTTTTGCGTTTTATTACGGGCTGCTTTGCGATACAGCTTGATAAGCTACTCTTGTTTGTTTTATTTGTTTGTTTTCTGCTGGAACCGGGTTCATTATTTTCATATATTTGTAGTGTGAACTTTTGTTAACGATTGTGAAGGATAAGAAGAAATAATATCTCAGTCGTTATAAAGGTGAGTTAATGAACAAGTTAATGAGCGAGGTATCTTGGGCTGTATCCCGGAGTTGTCAACAAACTGTTAGCGCCGCAGCTTTGTTTTGCGTTGATAAGCTACTCTTGTTTGTTTTATTTGTTTGTTTTCTCGCTGGAACCGGGTTCATTATTTTCATATATTTGTAGTGGGAACTTTTGTTAACGATTGTGAAGGACAAGAAGAAATAATATCACAGTCGTTATAAAGGTGAGTTAATAAGCAACACTCACCTTATTTGTATCTTAGGCTGTATCCCTTAGTTGTTTTTACAGACCGGGTGCGCCACGGCTTTGTACGAGCTGCTTTCTGCTACAGCTTTTATAAGCTACTCATGTGACAGTTGTTTGTTTTCTCGCTGAACCCGGTTTCATTTTTCTTGGTATATTTATTATAATAGGACTTCCGGAGGACAAGAAAAAATAGTATCACAGTCGTTATAAGGTGAGTTATTGAGCAAGTTAATGAGCGAGGTATCTTAGGCTGTATCCCGTATATATGTTTTGAAATGTCAAATCGTCAATATCTTAAATTCAATTTACTTCTGCCAAAGGTAAGCTTTTAGCATGAAGAAACTCAGATAAATGCGTGGACAAAGTTTCTGCATGAGTCACTACAATCCCATGTGTTCCACCTGAAATAGTGATAACACGAGCCTGAGGAATAAATTGTTGTAAATGTTTGCAGAGACGATATGGTACTGTCCCATCATCAGTTCCCTATTAGATGTCGAGAAAAAACTAGTTAATTTGTATAATTAAATGTACATAAATATTAAATATAATATAATCTACCCAAATAACCAATACGTCTCTCTGCTGCGTTCCAACTTCTTTATAAACTTCCTCAAGTCCGTAAAGTGGAAAATATTTGGCTGTTGAAATATAACTTTTGGCAAATCCTTCATATTTGTGCAATTGATACAATACAATATTCTTAATCTCATCTGCAAGTGCCGATGTTTTGTTTTCTTTGTCGAGTCGTGTGATTATTGATTTTTTGATTAACAGCTATTTTATTAATGAAAAAGAAATTAATTAATAAAATTATAAGGAAAGTTTGAACACTTGAAGAAACAAGACAAATTCAAAATATACCATCATTATTGGATAACACAACAACTGTGAGAC